GATAATGTGAGCCCCCCTGCAAGATTCAAACAGTCTTATTTATACAGATAAAAGGGTGCGAACTAAACAAAGGGACAGAGAGAGCAAAATTGTAAAATTTGCATGGGGCACAATATGCATATCCTGCTTCCTTATTAACTCTTATCGATCTAAGGCTAATGCTTCACCAATTGCCCTTAAGTGGAGCAATTGATTAACAGTTTCCTGACACCTGGATTGCAGCATTTCATACAGCATTCTTTAATTCATTCTATTTCTTTAATATAATTCATTTCACTTTCACAATTTAAACCCAGCCTGCTGAGTGCAGAGATATATAAGGGGTCAGCTTGGGAGTGCTGATTAACCCGGTCCTTTCAGACGCGCTCTGTTAATGTGTGTGTGTTCGGCTGATTCTGGGGCTGGAGGAACCCAGCCCGGGGGAACCTCGGTCCTGCAGGATCGCTCCATTGGGAGGGGACTTGCAGAAGGGAGAAGTAGAGCTCTGTATGAGAACACACGTGACACAAGCAGTCCATTGATAGAATTACAGACACACACACCCCAAGAGTAACCCTAATAAATGAGCGTACCCCAAAGTAACGAGCAAATCTGGTAACAACTGGACCATGTCCCTAACCAAGAAACAGGCCCAGGCCTTATTGGGATGGTCGGGTTCTGCCAGAGTTTTGTACCCCACTGTCATGCAGTCACAGGCTGGGTGCTCTGGAACCGCTCTGAACGAAGTCAGGCAGGACTCTGGTGCAGCGTCTCCCCTCAGGGCGCACTCACCAGGGCAAGAAGCCTGCTCGGCTTCAGTGCTTCCTGGGTCTGACTTCAGAGCATTCAGCCCCCTGTTCACCCCGTGAGTTCCCTGCGGCGAGTCCCCCTGGGTGGGACCCCCGGGGAAGCCTTACATGCCCCCAAAGGGCCCTGCCCCCCAACTCCACAGTCAGCCGTGACTCTCAGCCAGCATGTAAAACAAAAGCTGTATTAGTCGTCGGGAACACAGTGTAGGACAGAGCTTGTTAGCACAGAAATCAGGAAGTTACAGCAAAGTCCATCTTGGGGGGGGGGGGGGGATCCAGAGCCCTGAGCTCTTCCCCCAAGTCCCAAACCAGGAGACTGACCCCTTCCATCAGCCCTGTCAAGCTCAGCAGCCCCTCCTCCGGGCTTTGCCTCCTTCCAGGGCAAACAGGTCACCTGGTCTCTTTGTTCTCCAACACCTCCGGCTGGCTCCTTGCAGAGGACAGGCTCTGGCCATCACTTGCCAGGATACAGAGTATCAGCCATTCTGCGTCCAGGCAGCCAGTCGGCAGTCACACCTGCCCTCTAGGACTCTCTGCTGCGATCACACAGCCTTATCCATCACCTAGATACTTGAGTAACACAAAGGGCAATGGTTCCCAAACTGGGGTTTGCACAACGTTACAGGGGGGTCGCCAGAAAAATTTCCCTAATGGCGGCCAGAGGACCCCGGGCATGGGAGGCAGCAGGTGGGACCCGGCTGCAGGGCTGACAGCCCAAGGCTCATGGAGCGCTGAGCAGGCAGCCGAGCCCCGGTCAGTGGGGGGGCTGGCAGCCCGAGCCCCATGGAGAGTGGGGCCAGGCAGTTGGGGCTAGCAGCACAAGCCCTGCCCCCATCAGAGGGGGGGGGCAGGCAGCCAGAGCCCCAGCGGTCAGCATGGGGTCAGCAGCCCAAGCCCCATGGAGCGTGGGGCTGGGCAATTAGGGCCGGCAGCCCAAGCCCCAGTGGGGACCGCCAGCCTGAGCTCAGTGGAGCACTGAG